TCTCTCTCTCTCTCTCTCTCTCTCTCTCTCTCTCTCTCTCTCTCTCTGTGTGTGTGTGTGTGTGTGTGTGTGTGGCGTGGCGGTTCCCGACAATATGCTTTCTGGGCAGAAATGTTTAGAAAACAATGACTCATGTATTGGATAGCCCTTGGGCCCACTAAAGCCACTTCCTGCCTTCCGGAGCAGCCCCAGGAAGAACTCAACTTCCCTAGAGACTGGACTGTGATTAGAGACTCCCCCCAGTGGCTGTTATGGATGGTTTCTATGCCTATTCGCCATTCCACCCCTTGTCTACATTAGCCATGCACAGAAAAACAAATGAGTGATTTTCTTATGTGCATAGGTTTCTCAGACAGTGTGACCTCTAGGTATAGATAGAGCCAAGAGTTTTGATAATGTCTTTTAAAAAAAATCGTGCGTGTGGTGTGCATTTGTATATGTGTGTGATGTGTGTTAGTGTGTGTGTATCATCAAGTGTATATGTGTGTAGTTGTATTTGTGTGTGATATGTATTAATGTATTGTGTGTACTTTTGTGTGTGATAATGTGTTAGAGTATGTGTGTGTAATCATGTGTACATGTTGTGTATTAGTGTGTGTGTGATGTATGTTAGTATGTGTGTGTAATTATGTGATATGTGTTAGTGTATGTGTGTCATCAAGTGTGTTGCTGTATATGTGTGTAATTATACTTTTGTGTGATGTGTGTTAGTGTTTGTGAGTGTAATGCATGCATGATGTGTGTTAGTGTTTATGTGTATAATTGTGTGTGTGATGTGTGTTAGTGTTTGTGTGTGCTAGCATATGTGTGTAATATGTGTTAGTGTATATGTGTGTCATCATGTGTATATTAGTGTGTGTGTGTGTGATGTGTGTTAATGTATGTGTGTGTCATGGAGTTTGTTGCTGTATATGTGTGTAATTGTGTGTGATCGTGTGTGTGTATGGTGTGTTAGCATGTGTGATGTGTGTTATTGTATGTATGTGATGCATGTTAGTGTATGTGTATGTGTATGATCATGTATGAGCTGTAAAGGATTGTATTAGTTAATTTGTCTTGTTGCAACAAGAACAACTTAAGGAAGGAAAGGTTTGTTTTGGGTCGTAATTTCAAGCTACTGTCCGTCATGGCTGGGAAATCACAGTGGCACAAGCATCTGAGGTGACTGGTTACGTTGCACCCGTAGGGAGGAGTTTAGGGATCAAAGAGATGAATGCTTATATTCAATTTGCTTTTTCTTTTAAAAAATTGTAGTGTGCATGTGTGGGTGTGTGCACGTCCCGTGTGCATCCTGTGACGTACGTGTGGAGGTCAGGGAACAACTTGCAGGAGGCGGTTCTCTTCTTCCGCCATGTGGGTCCCAGGGATTGAGCTCAGGCCGTCAGATTTACCAGCAAGCACCTTTACTCATTGAGCCATCTTGTGTCCCTGCGTCCTTCCTTTTATTCAGTCCAGGACCCCAACCCATGGGAGGTATCATCCTTGTTTGGGATAGATGTTCCTACTTTTGTTAGCCTAACTTAGAAAAGCTCTTACAGACATACCCAAAGATGTCTCCATGATGTTCTACACAATGTCAGGTTGATAATATAAACAGTCAGAAGGACTACCAAGAGTGGATAGTTACATAGGAATATCATGATGGCTTTTCATCAAAAGAAGAGAACGTTAGGCAAGCAGGTGGACAGGATGCTTGCTCTTGGCTAAAAGGAGCCCGCAGTAGCTCTGAGGAGGGAACACATGGGCCTACCAATGGAAGTTTGCAAAAGCACCCGAGGAGAGGACCTCTAGAGCTGGGCTGCTGAAAGGTGAATAGAAGTTTACCAAGCAGCAACCTGGGGGCCACAGTAAGCTTGTAACCTAGCGAGTAGTGATGCCGGTATAAGTAAGAAACCCGTCGTTCACAAGTCTTACCTCTGTATCCCTCCAGTGACTGTCCCTTCTGCCGAATCTGCCATGAGGGAGCGAATGGGGAGAATTTGCTGTCCCCCTGTGGCTGCACCGGCACGCTGGGAGCTGTGCACAAGAGCTGCCTGGAGAAATGGCTGTCTTCCTCCAATACCAGCTACTGCGAGCTGTGCCACACGGAGTTCGCAGTTGAAAAGCGACCCCGACCTCTCACAGAGGTATATTGCTTAGGGGAGGCTGACCGTCCAGAGGAGACGAAGGGCATTTTGGGGACAGAGTTAGCAGTTGCTCAGGTCAGCCGGGAAGGCAACTATGTCCCTGCCAATGCTGGGAGGGATCTGCTGATGTGTGGGAACCTGAATGACCAGAGGTTGCAGGTTTGCAAACCTCTACCTGCCGTGCTTTCTGTCTGTCTCTATCTCTGTCTGTTTGTCTGTCTGTCTGTCTGTCTCTCCTCTCTGATTGTTTTGCTTTGTTTTGGAAGCAGGATCTCAGGTGTCCTAGGCTGTCCTCAAAGCAGCTTTTAGCTGAAGACGACTTTCCAGCCTGTGGCTATCCAGCCTCTACGTCCCCAGTGTGGAGTTACAGGCGGGCAGTGCTCCACATATGCTAGGCTTGCCCTCTACCAGCTGAACCACAACCCCAGCTCCAGTCAGCGCCACTCCCCTTTTAATACTACTTGGATTTGCTACTATCCTGTCTGTTTCCTGAGTGTTGGAATTCTAAGCATGTACCACCATGCAGGGCTGGTTTTTGCTTCTTTGAACTAGGGTATCATTTTAGCTCAGGGAGGCCAGGAACTCAGGCAATCCTTCTGCTTCAGCCTTTTGAGTGCCAGTATGACAAGGTATGAACCCTAGGGCAACCATTGTTAGTTCTTTTTATTTTTTTGAGAGAGTCTAATGTAGCCCAGGCTGGCCTACAGCTTGCTATACAACAGACTAGCCTTACACTCTTGATCCTCCTGCTTCTATCTTCCACATTCAGGGATTAACAAATGAGCTACCACACCCAGAATTTTTGTTTTATTTACTTTAAGACAAGGTTGCATTCTGTAGCGCTGGGTAGCCTGGAACTTGCTGTGTTGACCAGGCTGGCCTCGAACTATCTGTTATCTTCCTGCTTCAATCACCCTACAGTTTTTGAGGCCAGGTCTCTCTAAGTAGCCATTGAACTGACCTAGAACTCTCTATAAAGACCAGGCTGAGCTCACAGAGATCCACCTGCCTCTGCTTCCGAAGGGCTGGAATTAAAGGTGTGTACCACCATACCATCCTTTCCTTTCCTTTCCTTTCCTTTCCTTTCCTTTCCTTTCCTTTC